TTTTTTTTTTTTTTATTTTTTTTGCCGGCAAGCTTCTTTAAATCAATACAGGCTGGCACAGTTAGGACCCAGCCTGGTTTCAATGAGTCAAGAAGTACAACTGCATTTCATTTAACCAAGTGAAACCCCTTGGTACAAGTCAATAGGGTTAACTAGTCTCAACATGAAAACATGGGTATTTCTCCTGGCTTTTAATTGTTGGGTAAGAAATTCAGTTAATCAAACGTCAAACCTGCTTCCCTCCCCCTGCCGAAGTTGAAGAGGGCCCTTTTTCTGAAAACCCTAGTTAAAAGGTACAAAGTAAACCCTGGATATTACTTTCCCAATATCCTTTCCTTGAAAAGTAATTAAAACACCCAGAATGAATCTATTTCATCATATTATTTGAATTTTTATGACTAGTTCTAATTTTTTCAAAACTGTTATTATGTATTTCCTGGTATTTATTTTTACTTTTTTAAATTTCAGGTCAAATTTAGGACCTTTTAATCCATCTATTAAGCAAATAAGGATGTTTCAGACAGTACCAGACACTTCGTCTTACGTCAAGGTAAGACATGACAGCATCTTTAAACAGGTAATGTCAAAAATTACAATCCTCCAAAATTCAAAATAATTTATATGGGTTTCAGAGTTTGATCCAATTCCCATTTATTTAATGGAAAGCCTCCCATTGACTTCAGTGGGGGGCTGGGTTAGATCCAAAATGGTCATACTTGTCCTTAGGCAGATCTCCAGAGCTTGAAAAATGAATCACCAGGCAGAACAAAATATTATGATGGTCTCCTCTTTTATATCATAACCAGTATTATAATGGTACTTGGTTAGCTAGATTATATCATAACCAACATTTTAGTGGGGGTGTCCTGATTTTATATTATAGTAGTGGTTTGTTTGATTGAAACCAGTATGATAGTGGTAGCATACTACCAATATTATACCATAGTGGTTTCCTAAATTGGTTTCCAATTTTCTGCTTTTCTTGATGCCATTTAATCTTGAACCAAAACTAAACTTCATTGTAATATCCCTGTACTTTTCTGCTGTGCAAACCACCAAACTCATTGTACAAAAATGTTTGTGTGGGTACGTAAAGTACTCTTCTTTAGAGTCCAAAATTAGTTTAATGAAAAAAACAAAACTGAATGAACTAAACTGAATTGTCTCTCTCAGTTTTTGAGTAAATGGATTGCTGGCCCAGGTAGTGGTATAGAATACTGGAACGTATTTCAAATTGTTCCTCATGGTTTTCCTCAAACATTCCTTCCATGTAATTTCACCAGCAAACAGACTAATTAATCCAAATGGTTGCGGCTAATGCCAAAAACTATGATTACCTGCCCTCCAAATATTTGATTGTGTGTCTTATTTGTGGCTCTTTGATTGTATTTTTGGGGTCATTTCTGTCTGTCTCTCTTTCTACCCGCTCCAAAGCAAATTCCAAAGAAAGGTTGGCAGTCTTGTCCCTTTATAGCTCAATTGAGCACTGTATTATATTTGACATCATATAGTTTTTTTCCACAACAGTTCCCAAGAATGTAAATAAACCAAGCCTGGGACATCTGGGTTACACGTTTAAGGCAAACCCTGCATGCCACAGCACTTAGAGAAAATCTAAAACACAAGACTCTTCTCTTCCAGGCTGAAGGGACACAGGAGGGTGTTAACTAGAGCTGGGTGAATAATTTGTAATGAATGATTTATTACATGAATATTGCTTCTTTTTCCCTCTGTCAGTCACCAGTGAGCAGACTGCAGTTTTCATGTAGATAGTACATTATTTGAAATGATTCACTGAATAATTCCTGCATATAATACTCAAACGGTACCTTGTGCAAACGGTTGGGAGTATTGGGCATGATCTGTGGTATGACAGTGAAGTCATGTAGTATTGTTTCTGTTCTCTGAAAGGATAAGTGAGCGCAACTTTTAGGGCCAGTTTTCTTGAGCAAATACTTTGAATTGGAAATGTTCTCATGGTAGGAGAATGTTCTTCAAAACCTATGTAAAACCCAGTGTTTCTGTGAACATTCCTGGCGACGATGTTGTTCCTTAAATTCAGTGGCCTTTGGACCAAATCCTAAAATCATAGAAACTTAATGGAAAATGACTTCAAAAGGGATGCAAATATCATCAAAGCAAACTTTTGAAAACTCAGAGAAAGACTGGAAATTTGTCTGTAGTGTATGTCTGGCTTTAGCATTAACTTAGTCTTCAGAGCTTCCTCCTGTAAGCAGAAGATAATCTTGCACATGTTTTGATCACAACTAAAAGGTGAAGCCACTTCAGCATCCCATGGTAAGGCTGCTGCTTACAAATCCAGCTGCAACTTAAGTCAGTGGCAAAATTCCTTCCAAATTCAACAAAATCAGGAGTTTGGCCCAAGTTATTAAAGTGCACACAGGGATGGACTGGACCAACACTATAACTAACTGCATGAGATCAACTTTCTGTTCAGGTAAGGTCCCAGTTTTCACAAAGACCTTCCAGGCTGGACCTTCCTCATTGCTTTAGTAGTACAGAGATAGGTGGCTTGGATGCTACTTGACTCACAGTCATTTATTGCATCTCTTAATTACCAAGCTGCCATTATTTTCTTGTCTGGTATTTTCCTGTAACATGCTCACCAAGGTCAGCAGGGAAAAATTGTTTCCATATCTAAAAAATCAACAGGGATTTGACTGAAGAAAGGAATCGATCCAAAGCTCCTTTTTCAAAAGGGTTAAGATCAGGCAAATAGCCACTAATGATGCAAAGACTTAATCACATGCTTAATTTTATTTACATCAGTAGCTCCATTGAAAGTCAATGGGGTGGCACAAATTAAGGCTATACAAAAGCAGGATTAGGGTTTAACTATTCAATACAGAGGATGAAATCCTAGCTCCTCTAAAGTCAATGTCAGAACTCTCTCTGGTATCAGTGGAGCCAGGATTTCACCATTAAAACAATCACCCCATAGATGACTTTCACTGGTAGGAGAAGTGTTACTGTTTGGTGGCTAGTGCACTGCACTGGGGCTCAGGAGACCAGTTCTGCCACTGGTCTCCTGAATGCCCTTGAGCATGTTATTTCATATTAGTATATCTCAGTTTCCTCTTGTAATACAGGGATAATGATACTGACCTTTGTAAAGTAATTTGAGATCCTTTGATAAAAGTGTTTCTAAGAGCTAGGTATTATTATCAGGTAGCGACTTGTCATCTATTTTTGCCTATTCTTGATGGCTGACCCAGTAGTTTGAGCACGTGTCTAGGAAGCAGGAGGCTCTGGAAAGCCTTTTAACAATTTCTGCATCACATTTCATATCTCTGAAAGTAGAGAGAAGAGTTGGTGGCTGGACTAGTTGGGAAGCCTTTTTTTAAAAAAAAAGGTGAAATTCTTGTTGCCCTTTTTACACTTTAGTCATGGGACTACTTGCATGTAGAAGAAAAGTGGGTATGGGTCCAAGATTTTATGGAGGCCCTTTACTACACATACCAGATATATAAGCATTACGTTAAAATTTCATCACTTAACTCATAAAGATAAATGTTTCAGTGTCACAGCTGGAGCTCACTGGCATAGTGAGGGGGGCTCCTGGCAGGATGTTCTTTGGAAGGGCTGCCCGGCTTCCATGAATCTGCTGCTCCCACCCCTTGGTCTGAAGCAACTTAAATAGCATGAACTTCAGGTCACAGTGCAATTCTCATTTTTAACTCCAGGCATTTGAAAATGGAAGGGTGCAGATTAGAAGGGGGGAACGGTTGAAAGAGGGGTAGGTTGGAGTTTTTATAGCGCCTGATTTACTGAGGGTAAGTTATACTGAATCACACTGGTAAATTTAGGAGATTTCTGTGCAGTATTCCAAATTTATATCAAGAGTTTCTAGTGTATATCAGTATGTGTCCTTTCAAGTATTTGCACACATCTGAATAGAGAAATATATATCCATAGTATGGTTATAAACCTCTAAGTAAGCTCAGAGGTGGGGACTTTTTATTCACCTATGCACAATCTTATTTTTACAGGATAAGGTGGCAGGCAATCATAATTATTAGTAATAAAGCTATAAGCTAATTATAGGCTCTGAATGTTTTCTTCAAGGTACTTAGTCAAATGAATATATATGTATCCTTTTATGCCATTGTGATGCTTCTTGATCAGAATATTATCAGAGTTGCTAATCTCATCTAAACAAAGTATTTGTTTGGAGAATTAAACATGTATTGCAATTAGCAAATTAAATTTTAAAAAGGGCATTGGAATCTTAATTGTATGAATATGGAAAGTGTTAAGGATGTCAGCAAAGTAACATGTGCTCTGGATACTACATTTTACCATTACCATTGTACATAGTCTCCCCTGGACTGTTAGCAGTATTCATTTTCCTACCACACTGTCAGTGCTGGGTTTACATGTTCATCAAGGCAATGCATGAATAGCTTTTAGATGCCCGATTCATTAGTATTTCTCCTTTTCTTTTGCAATAAAAAAAAATCCAGCCACAGTTATCCTCTCCATCATCTTCCCACTTAAACAAAAAAGCCACTGCTTTTGCTTTCAGCCACAGAGCTTTGAACATTGAGGTTTACTTTCCTCCTCTGAAAGAGAGAGCTTAACATTGGCTGTGCCATGCAGGATGACACATAACATAGCCATTGCTCTCCACAAATGACTGAGATCACTGAAGGAGTGAAGGACGGGGACATGATGTTGTCAGAAGTTCCACTAACAGATGTCAGCTACAGGAGATGGGTACAGGAATCACTGGGTGAAATCCTATGGCTTATGTTATGCAGGAGGTCAGACAGGTTGAGTATAATAACCCAGGTTGGTTTTAATATCAGCAGACAAATGTGTTGGGGGAGATGGTTAGAATAGGTTCCTCCTTCTCATCTTCCACTTCTTGATGACACAACCTTCCGTGTAGTTTCAAGACTGATGCATCTTCACTCAAAGTCTCCTTCCAACTTTTCTTAGGAGTTTGCTTTTTCATATGGGTGATAAGACCTGTCTGGAGAATTACTGTCCTGCTCTTTTCCTGATATAAGTGCAAAAAGTACCATGCACAAGATTAAAATAGTGGACTTAGCACCCATTTCAGGTTTCTCTAAGTGAATCTCCTGGGTTGGCCTTGGTTTGTCTTCTGATATTTGAACTGTCTGTGGTAGCACTGCTGAGTCCTAACTGGGCACAGAAAATGCTAGTGTGTCATCCACCACTGCGCCAAGCTAGGAATAGCATCAGTACAAGCACATGGTAATCTCAGACCTTTCCAGCCTGTCTGACCCCCAAAGAAGCAGCCAGACTAATGAACTGGAGCCTATAGCAACCAAATTCATTTTCAAGCAAAGACAGCCCTGGCAGTTCTTGCAGAGCACTTTCAGCCCAGCCCCTAGTTATTCACCCACTCTATACTCTGTGGCCACATTTATGAAATATGCACAGAGCAAATATGCATATTCCACTTCAGATGCTTGTGCAAAAAACTAGGCTTCTTGACAGATTTTAACCAAGCCTGAAAATGGACCTTGCTCCAATCTAAATGAGATGGGGAGGAGGGAACCATCGTTTAAGTGCAGAAGTTCTTGCTTT